GGACCTGACTGTACATGTATTGGGATTTCTTTTTACCAAAGACATGTAGCAGAATACATTTTGGCCTAAATTTATGACTAACTTTGAGTTTATTGGATTTTTTTAATAACAGAAAGTAGAACATATAAATTTATTTTTACATTTTCTGTCTTTTTTCATTTATATCACAAAAAAAAAACCCCCCCAAAAAACCTAATAGTGATAAAATACCACCAAAAGAAAACTCTGTGTGGAAAAAAGGACAGCGTTGCATGACCACACAGTTACCAGTTGAAATAGCACAAATAGCAAAAAATGTCCTGGGGGAAAACCTTCCGGGGCTGAAGAGGTTAAACAAGCTGAGGTTAGAAGCTTATTGGCTACCATGCACAAATTTTACACATTCCAGTTTTAGTAAATCAAACTCTTTGAATTCATTGAGAAAATGCAAAGTATTCTCTGAATGATGCCCATGCTGACCAAGTGATGCCTTGCAGGCATGGGACAGGGAAGAAATTGGGGATCACTGTAGTAGTGGTGACTTCTGCAGAGATTCTCCCAGGGGCGGACTGACCATTTGGAAACTCGGGCACTGCCCGAGGGCCCGGGGTCAGTAGGGGGCCCCATGAGATGCCACTGGTACCTTTTTCATAGGCTTTTTTGAGTTTGATCAAGGACACAGGGGCCCCATGATCCCCTATTGCCCCGGGGCCCCATGAGTTGTCAGTCTGCCCCTGGATTCTCCTATTCCACAGGGATACAATATGCATATGAAGTGGTATCAAAAATTGTTGAAACTAGTTTTGTAACAACCCAACAGATGGCAGCACAAGGCTGCACGCACAATCACAGGGAGCAGTGGCCTTCATAAGTCAGTGTGCCAAAAGACATCATCCTGTGTACATCAGGAGCTGTGCAACTGGTGCTATTTTGACCACATGCGTTACCAAGTCTGTTATTTCGTCATGGACAGCAAGTTAGAACGAAAAAACATGAAATTCCACGTGAAACTGAGAAAATCTGCCACAGAGATGTTTGACATGATTCAGCAAGTTTACGGTGATGCTGCTGCCGTTTGAGGTGTTTTGAGTGGCACATGTGCTTCAAGAGCAGAAGAACATCACTGGAAGACGATGAGAGATCAGGAAGACCTTCAACAAGCTCAAGCCACGAAAATGTTCAAACCATTTGGCAACTTGAAGATCATCGGAGAACAATCCACAACATTGCTGCCATTTTCGGTATTTCAACTGGAACAGTCCAGGCAAACCTCACATATGATTTGAACATATGCCAAGTTGCTGCCAAGGTCTTCCCCAGGCTGCTGACCCAGGAGCAGAAAGAACACCACGTCGAAGTCTGCCAAGAACTCCGTCAATGTGCTGTGGCTGATCCAGGGGCGGACTGACAACTCAATAGGGGATCATGGGGCCCCTGTGTCCTTGCCCAAACTCAAAAAAGCCTATGAAAAAAGTACCAGGGGCATCTCATGGGGCCCCCTGCTGACCCCGGGCCCTCAGGCAGTGCCCGAGTTTCCAAATGGTCAGTCCGCCCCTGGGTTGATCTGTCCTTTATGTCAAGGATTATTACCGGAGATGAAACTTGGGTGTACAGGTTTCACGCAGAAATTCACGTTTTGCTCTTTGTTCTAACTTGCTGTCCATGAAGAAATTCCAGATGCAGTAACGCACATGATCAGAATAGCACCAGTTGCACAGCTCCCAATGTACAGCACAGTGAGTAATGAAGGTCGGTGCTCCTCGTGACTGGGCGTGCAGCCTTGTGCTGCCATCTGTTGGCGTGTTACAAAACTAGTCTTGAAACGTTTTGATACCACCTCGTACTTATATTGGTCCAAGCTGGACCAATGTCCAGCTTGGGATGCAATAAATTCCACGTGCAATATGCAATAAAATCCATACCTCTGCTATAAAATTTAAAAACAAATTTGCCATCAGGCCATTCCATTCCAAACTGAGTGTTGGAGAAATCAACTTTAGAGGAATAGTAAAACTTCCACCGAGGACTAGACAAGTACGAACTCCATGTGTTTACCAGCTTCCAGCACAACAGAGGTATCTCATGTACAACACAAACAAATATGACATTCTTGGTTTATTTTGTTACCTTGCTCTACATATGGGGACAATTACACCTTCCAGTGATATCAATCTTTAATAATGTATCTTTCTCTCCTGCCTTTGCCCTCATCATCTGCAAACTGTTTGCTAATGAATCAAGCCCTGATTAGGAAAGAATTTCAATTAATGTGAAGCCGTAAACAGTTTACATACAAGAGATTGGGAGATTTTTCACAAATAAACAGGTTTTGCATGTCTTGTTTGCAAATGTGATTAGTAGAGTGTTCTGGTCACAGGAGGCTTCCAGGGAAATTCCGCTGCCTTCAAACGATGTAAAACCGAGTCAAATGATAATCAGAAAAGGTGGCTGATAAAATCCTCTGGGACTTTGGGTGCAAATACTGTGGGGGAGTCACTGCAGCAACATCTATTGTCAGTCTTACCCAATAATGGAAGATGCGTTGGTGACTAGATCCAACCTTGACAATCAGGACCTGCAGACCTGCTCAAGACCCTGGTAAATGTTTAATGTTGAACACCAGGAATAATATATTTTACAGATTTACAATGGGCCAGCTTGGCAGCCAGCTTATGCCAGCTTGGCATAAGGTAAGCATGCGAATATGATATCTGATTGGTGTCTGTGGAAGCCCTAAGTCACTAAAGCAGCCCAAATGACTACAGCGGGGTCTCTAAACATTTCATTACAAGGGCTACATTAAATATTTTAAAAATACTTGTTGGGTCTGCATCTGATTCCACCTTGCATCAGAGTACCCCCTTACATCTTGCTCTTCATCAGAGTTCCCCTTTTATTAGGGACCCCTTTACAACAGGTGCCCCAAAAGAGCCCCCCTTACATCAGGTTCCCCATTAGAATCCCCCTTACATCAGGTTCTCCATCAGAGTCCCCCTTTACATCAGGTTCCCCATCAGAGCCCCCCCTTACATCAGGTTCCCCATCAGAGCCCCCCCCACATCAGATTCCCCTTCAGAATCCCCCCTTACATCAGGGTCCTTATCAGACTCCTCCTTACATTGGATTTCCCCTTACATCAGGTTCCCTATTAGAATCCCCCTTACATCAGGTTCCCCATCAGAATCCCCCCTTACATCAGGTTGCCCTTCAGAGTCCCTCTTTACATCAGGGTCCTTAACAGAGCCCCCCCATATTTGATTCCCCATCAGAGCCCCCCTTACATCAGGTTCCCCATTAGAATCCCCCTTACATCAGGTTCCCCATCAGAATCCCCCTTACATCAGGGTCCTTATCAGAGCCCCCCCTTACATCAGGTTCCCCATCAGAGCCCCCCCCAGCAGATTCCCCTTCAGAATCCCCCCTTACATCCGGGTCCTTATCAGAGTCCCCCTTACATCAGATTGCCCCTTACATCAGGTTTCCCATTAGAATCCCCCTTACATCAGGTTACCCATCAGAATCCCCCCTTACATCAGGTTCCCCATCAGAGTCCCTCCTTAAATCAGGGTCCTTAACAGAGCCCCCACCATATTTGATTCCCCATCAGGGCCCCCCTTACATCAGCTTCCCCATTAGAATCCCCCTTACATCAGGTTCCCCATGAGAATCCTCCCTTACATCAGGGTCCTTATCAGAGCCCCCCTTACATCAGGTTCCTCATCAGTACCCCCCCTACATCAGATTACCCTTAAGAATTCTCCCTTACATCAGGGTCCTTATCAGAGTCCCCCTTACATCGGATTTCCCCTTACAAAAGGTTCCCCATTAGAATCCCCCTCACATCAGGTTCCCCATCAGAATCTCCCCTTACATCAGGTTCCCCATCAGAGCCCCCCTTGCATCAGGGTCCCCTTTAGAATTCCCCCTTACATCAGGGCCCCCATCAGAGTCCCCCTATTACGGCTTACAACAAACGTCTGCAGAAGGGCGGAAGGCAGAGCATGTCTGGATGGAGGACTTTCCATCATCTTTTAAATGCTGAGGCAAGCACATCATTGGTTGCTAAGATGCCATCGAGTACATGTGCTAGAAACTTTAGGATGGGGGGGGACCGCAGCAGGGGGGAGACTATAGGTAGCCTCTAATGACCTGAATCCTCAATATGTGCACATTGAGAATGCACTACTTGCCCTAGCTGCAGACCAGGTAAATCTTGTAGCAGGGTGCATGTGGCCCATGGGCCATGGTTTGGAGACCCTTGTATTACAGTGATAGCAGTAGTCTCCTGGGTTCCATATCGAGTGGTTGCCCTTCAGCATAGTAACCACAGGGGATCACTCACTGGTGATGGCCATCATTCAGAGAATGCCTTGCACTTTTCTCAGTGAATGCAAGGCACTCTCAGACTGGACGAGGTGGAGAAGAGAGGCGGTAGTGTCACAATCTTCACCTTGTCCAATCAGAGAACACTTTGCATTTATTGAGAAAATTTCTCGGAATGGCACTGCCAAGCGAGCGGGCCCTGTAAAGACGCTGTGCAGGGCTCGCTCACTTGGCAGTGCCATTCCGAGAATTTTTTTTAAAATATATTCTTCAGATTTTTTTTAACATATAAAAAAGTAATTTTAACATTAATTTTACATATATTTGTAAATGCATTCCAAAAATGTAGATTTGTATTTTTAAAAACATACAGTATATTTGAAATGTATTTTTAAAAATACCATATTTTCCGGCGTATAAGGCAACTGGGTGTATAAGACGACCCCCTAATTTTCCAGTTAAAACAGGTTTTGGGCTATACTGGTCGTATAAGACTACCCCCCTTCCGAGGCAACACCATTTAACCCCTCGCCTACAGGGCACTTATACCCCCTTACCTGCCCAGGCCAATTTTCAGCTTTCAGAGCTGTCACACTTTGAATGACAATTGTGCGGTCATGCAACACTGTACCCATATGAAATAGGTGGCACTGATGAGGAGGCACTGGTAGGTGGCACTGATGGGCATTGACAGGCATCACTGATGGGCACTGAAAGGCAGCACTGATACATGGCACTGATACATGGCACTGATACATGGCACTGATACATGGCACTGATACATGGCACTGATACATGGCACTGATAGGTGGCACTGATAGGCAGCACTGACTGGCACTGATAGGTGGCACTGACTGGCACTGATAGGTGGCACTGACTGGCACTGAAAGGCAGCTCAGATGGGCACTGATATGTGGCATTGATGTGGCACTGATGCACTGACAGCTGGCACTGCTGGGGCTACACTGATCATCAGGGTACACTGATCATCAGTGCCCTGATGATCAGTGTACATGTCCCCTCCGCGGAAAGCAGATTACCGGCTCTCCTCTCCTCTGTCAGCGTGACAGCTCGAGAGGAGAGAAATGCCGATAACTGGCATTTCCCTGTTTACATGTGATGAGCTGTGATTGGACACAGCTGATCACATGACCGAGCCGACATCTTCGGCTCTTTCCGTGATCGGTGATCCGCTGTGTCCGAGGGACACAGCGTATCGCCAAGCATGCGCGGAGAATGGGAGGATGTCATATGAGCCAATCACGGCAAGTGATGTATTCTATTAATGAATACAGAGCCTGCTCGGATTGGCTGCGTCAGAGAGGCGGGCTGATGTTGTCACAACTTCAGCCAATCCGAGCAGGCTCTGTATTCATTAATAGAATACATACATCGCTCGCCGTGATTGGCTCAGTGCGGTACACTGTATGTAGCTGAAGCTACCGTACAGTATTACCGCACATCCAGCGGTTCTATACCCGGCGTATAAGACGACCCCCAATTGTTGGGGTATGTTTTTAAGTAAAAAAAGTCGTCTTATACGCCGGAAAATATGGTATTTTTCGTATATTTTTTAATAAAAATGTATTTCAACATGCAGTACATATATATATATATATATATATATATATTAAAATATATTTTGAAATATATTGAATACAGCCAAAATTGTAGTATTTCAAATATATGGCAATATATTTGGGAAGAATATTTTTAAAATATATTTTTCTTCCATATGTGTCAGCACGAGACCGATCAGGTATTGCATGTATGGTGGTATGGAGTACATTCGATTACACTCTTCGCTGGTTCAGACTGCTGTGAATAGTTGCTTTGGAATATCTTACAGTTAATAAGTAATAAAAAAAAATATATAATTTGTATTTCCCGTTTGTTCATTTTCTCTCTCTGTACCCAACAGATGAAACCTGGGGCCATCTGAGGAATGCCTGGCTCTGCATATCTGTCACAAACAGGGCCTGATCTGCAAAAGACCAGAAACCGAGATCACTCTATGGCCCCCAAGTCTGACATGGCACAAGTACGAAATCTGTGTTATACATACTACAGTATAACACAGCAGGACACAAATCCAGAGACACAGGGGTACAGGTCAACCATATGTAAGTGGTTTATCCAGGTCACGGACGTATCTCCAGGTAAACATGTTGTGGCGCAGCCAGGGGCGGACTGAAAACTCATGGGGCCCCCGGGCAATAAGGGATCATGGGGCCCCTGTGTCCTTGCCCAAACTCAAAAAAGCCTATGAAAAAGGTACCAAGTGCCCCCTACTGACCCCGGGCCCTCGGGCAGTGCCCGAGTTTCTAAATGGTCAGTCCGCCCTTGGGCGCAGCAGAAGGGATTAATTGTATGGAAATCACAGCAGCTCCACCTGTTAGCTGCTTCCCAACTGGGCCATAGTGAAAAGACGTCCTCGGGTTGGAAGTGGAATACCCGAGTTACGGCTGCAACAATGTGCCATAACACCGGTATTGTTTTTTTTTTAAGTCAGCGATTCTCTAACCAATAACAGTGGTCCGAGCGGTGAATTCACCAATGGATCACTTTTAGAAGCGGCGGGATTGGTCGCTCTATTCTGCCGCTTCCCAGTGGCTCTCGGGCTTACCTGGATGATTGATGGCACCAAGAACCAATCCGACAGTCGTGGCTGTTTTTATCAGAGAGATGAGAGGAGGAAAGATGGCCTCCACTCATCTTTATGACCTAGGAGGACAGGAGCGACGTCATGACGTCACTTCCGGTTGTGGCCTAATGTAAACAAGGCCATTTTTTTAAAGCTCTAGATCAAAGTTTTTATTAATTTAAGGCTCCATGTACACTGCAGCTGATAAACTCATTTAGGAGCTTTTCTGCATTTGTTTCAGCAGCCCCTGAACTCTCCCTAATGTCTTCCTATGTGTCCATGTACACATCGTCGTTTACAGTCCTTTACAGGCAGTTGAGTTTACAGTAGTTTTGCGTTCAGGAGTAGAACTTGCGTTCAGGAGTAGATTTTATCAGCGTTTCAAACACCAAAGGCTTGTAAATGCGGCTAACCACGTTTCTAAGCGTTTGCGTTTGGAAAATTTTTTGAACTCTTCCATTTCCAGATGCTGCCCAGAGCCTTTTTTCATCATGAAAAATGCATGCAAAGCGTTTTCCCGGTACTCAAATGGACCCGGTACACCACACTTTGAAAGAAAATATGTTAGACATTGCTGCAATAATTTCTGCACAGAAATGAGCCGGAACACATCCAAACACACCACAAAAAAAAAAGACAGCTAATCTCAACAAATACTGCTCTCTCTGCTTCTGCTCTCTCTATTTCTCTCAAAATGTCTGAAATAGGGAATTTGTTACTGTTTTTCAGTGCATTCTGGAAGATCTCCTGAAGTTATCTTTAAAAAACGCTTCTAAACGCAAACGCTCATAAACGCGCATAAATGGGGTATGCAAACGCGGCTAAACAGATGGTTTTTAACCTACATTTTCCAGCAGTCAGTTTCCATCATTCAGAAGTGTTTTCCAAATGCCCCGTGTACATGCAGCCTAATGTCCCGTGCACATGGAGCCTAATGTCCCGTGTACATGGAGCCTAACGTCCCATGTAAATGGAGCCTAACATCCCGTGTACATGGAGCCTAACGTCCCATGTAAATGGAGCCTAACGTCCCGTGTACATGGAGCCTGTCATCCTGTGTACATGGAGCCTAACGTCCCATGTAAATGGAGCCTAACGTCCCGTGTACATGGAGCCTGTCATCCCGTGTACATGGAGCCTAACGTCTCATGTACATGGAGCCTAATGTCCCGTGTACATGGAGCCTAACGTCCCGTGTACATGGAGCCTGACGTCCCGTGTACATGGAGCCTGACGTCCCGTGTACATGGAGCCTGACGTCCCGTGTACATGGAGCCTGACGTCCAGTGTACATGGAGCCTGACGTCCCGTGTACATGGAGCCTGACGTCCCGTGTACATGGAGCCTGACGTCCCGTGTACATGGAGCCTGACGTCCCGTGTACATGGAGCCTGACGTCCCGTGTACATGGAGCCTGACGTCCCATGTATGTACATGGAGCCTAACGTCCCGTGTACATGGAGCCTAACGTCCCGTGTACATGGAGCCTAACGTCCCGTGTACATGGAGCCTAACGTCCCGTGTACATGGAGCCTAACGTCCCGTGTACATGGAGCCTAACGTCCCGTGTACATGGAGCCTAACGTCCCGTGTACATAGAGCCTAATGATTTACATTGTAGAGGAGAGATGTGTGATCATATTGACCCCAGATCTCTCCATAAAGACGACCCATCTGCCTATTTCTAACACAAGGGTTGTTTACATTCCTTGTAATAGGAATAAAGGTGATAAAAAAAATAACATGTAATAAAATAAATAAAAAAACATTTTTTGAAAATCCCCCCACCCCCCTGTACTCATGTGCAGTGGTGAACGCATACATAGGTCATGCCCACATATGTAAACGGTGTTCAATTCACACACGTGAGGTATTGCCACGAACGTCAGAGTGAGAGCAATAATTCTAGCACTAGATCTCCTCTGTAATTCTGGTAACCTGTAGAAATTTTTAAAGCATCACCTACGGATATCATAGTTTGGCACCATTCCGCGTTCACAATTTTAACCAATTCCATACCGGGCAATTTTACCCCTTCCTGCCCAGGCCAGTTTTCAGGTTTCAGCGCTCTCACACTTTGAATGACAATTGCGCGGTAATACAACATTGTACCCAAACTAAAATTTTATCATTTTCTTCACACATTTAGAGCTTTCTTTTGGTGGTATTTAATCACCGCTGCGGTTTTTATTTTTTGCTAAATTAAACAAAAAAAAAAAAAAATTAAAAAAAAAAAAGTTTTTCTTTGTTTCTGTTATAAAAGTTTGCAAATAAATAATTGTTCTTCATAAATTTAGGCCGAATGTATTCTGCTACATGTCATTGGTGAAAATAACCCAAATTAGGATGTATTATTTAGTTTGTAGGAAAGTTATAGAGTTCACAAACTATGGTATAGATCTGAATATTGATCAATCCTGAAGTACTGACGGCCAATCTAATTTCTTGAGGTCCAAGAATGTCAGAACAGTACAGATATCCCCAAATGACCCCTTTTTGCAGAGTAGACAGTCCGACGTACTTCATAAGAGGCATGGCAAGTTTTTTTAAGTTGTATTTTTTTTGTCATAATTTTTCCGAAAATGAAAAAATGTAAAATATTAGTTTCACTATTTTTTTTTACATATTGTCACCAGTGCGGTACAGCGTCATCATATAACTGGCATGGCGGTGATCAGGGACACTGACTGGTGACAGTATGAAAAAAAAATATATATATATTTTTTTATTTTTTTAATTATTTTTTATTAATTTTTTTTAAGATTTTTTTTTTCATATTTCACTATGACCAAAGTAGTACAATGTTACCATAGTAACATTGTACTACTTTGGGGAAGTGATCAGTATTTTTTTTTTTTACACAATTTGCTTATAGCAAAGAATTACTTTGCTATAAGCAAGCATTTACCTGAATGACATCGATTCATTCAGGGTTTTTTTTTTTTTTTTCTTGTGCTTAGCTGTGATTTGGCCACAGCTAATCACATGACATGTGCATGTGATTAGCTGTGACCATTCACAGCTAGACACTAGTATACAATGGATGGCATGAATGAAGCCATCCATTGTATACAACTGTCATGTGACCTGCTGTGATTGGTCACAGCAGGTCACATGGTACCGGCAACGGGGCCGATACTCAGATCTGTCATCGGCCGTGTCTGAGGTACACGGCCGGTGACAGATCGCGCCGCTGCGCCGCTCTGCTGGAGCACAATCTGCGCATGCGCGGGAGGACGCCATATGGCGTCCACCCGGAACGCTGGTGACATTTGCCGCCCGCCATTCGGCCATAGGGCGGGCGGCAAATGGTTAAAGCATGACATATTGGATATCTATTTACTCGGCGCAATATCATCTTTCATATTTTACAGACAAATTAGGTTATATATTGTGTTTAGTGTTTTTTAATTCTTAAAAGTGAATTCTTTCCCAAAAAAATTGCGGTTACAAAATAAACTCTGCGCAAATACTTTGTGACATAAAAAATTGCAATGACCGCTATGTTATCCCCCAGGGCCTCTACTAAAAAAATATATAATGTTTGGGCGTTCTAAGTAATTTTCGA